TGGCCTTACAAAGCATGACCTTTTGAATCGTCCTTTGCATCCATGGACATTCATTGATGAAGTGGCAAAAGAACAGGTATATTATGTTTTATGATTGAAGTTATCCTCTTAATTTACGTACGGTAATTATTAATTTGTTAATTTTTTAGACTTGTAATTTAAGGGTTCTTAGCATTTGTGAAACGCGTCGTCTATGCTAGGGACTAGATAGACAGTCGGATGTAGGGGCTTCAACCCAGGTACTTTTTCAGTTCAGCAGAATGATGTACTATATGAGCAAAGAGTATTTAGCTATCACGAAAAATTTTTTGCCCAACTTTTGCAGGTAAAACTAGAAAAGCTGATTCTGCTAGGTAGATACAGTGCAACCTTTTAGGGCGGGCGTAAGATTCTTTTCGTAGATCGTCTACATATGCAATGAGGCTTGTAGCGTCATAAGTAGCAGATCGCATTTAGTTTCCGAATTCGAACATTTCAGTCTATTAAAACTCGAGACGAAATTCTTTGTCCTGGGCTTCGATCCTATGCATTGGCTGAACGTTTACTTATTGACTCACCTGCCTCACCACATTTATTCTCACCTTGTCAATGTCAAACACTTGCCAACATCGTGACAAGGGTCATCTCTCGTTTCTCACCAACAGGAATAAGTTTCGCATCTTCTGCAGAACAGCAGAAATATTTTGGGAACTTCGAGAAACAGAATTTACTCAGGAACTTTAGCTTCAGCAAATGTCATGTCACTTTTTGGATATTGGTGTCAGGTATTCCGCAGCACTCCCTTTCTAACACCTTTGCATATACTTTTCTCGGAAGGCTGAGTATGGTAATGGTCCGATGATTAAAACACTATAATATCCCTTCTTTAGCAAGGTTACTACTCTGCCACTTTTCCATTTTAATGGCGTCTTCCCTGTACTCACTGTAGTTTGGCAGGCCCTTGTTAGCTATAAGATGCCTTGTTCGCCTAAAACTTTATGCATCTCAGGACGAGTTTCATCGATTCCAGCGGCCTCGTCACCTTACAAGCTTTTACAGCTTAATTCTACATTAAAATGCTGTCCGCTTCTTGATTCTCTTCTTCAAGCGACTCTCTCCGTCACCGAAGTCTATCTTCTTTCTTGGTAGAAAGCCGTTGAAACTCTTAGACTACTCTCGTCCCATCTCGCAGGCTGTGGATGATGTGCCAGAATGCTCTATTTGTTGTCAGGAAATTGCACTCAGATATTCATGTTTCGCGACCGCCACAATCACTTGAGTCGTTACTCATGATGTGGTAGTCACTGCTGTAGCTGGTTGAATCAAATACTTTACGTGCTGTTTTGATCAAGAATTGGTTATGGCCTTGTTACTAATTGCTCATTGCAGGTTAAGAAAGACTTTCACTCCATCTACAGTCGTCTTGTTCTGTGTAAAACGTTCAAGCTAGACGAAGACGCTAAAGTTTTGACCCCCGAAGAAACTCTCTTTAATTCTGTGCAGTTAATCAACTATACTCATGACTTGTGCAGTGCATCGCCAGACGTTAAGTTCCGTACGCTTATGTGTCTTGGACTGAACGAACAGTCGCTTCACCTGTGGTTCGAAATCTTCTGCTCCAGTCATGATATTGTCGAGAAGTGGTATTGTCCGTGTTCGTTTATCAGGAGTCCGGCGTGGGTGCAGATCAAGTGTGATCTGCGCGTGTTGTCTCACTTTTCCTTCAACCTCAGTGCTGATTCAGAATTGACTCCTCGTTTCCAGCGCTGTTCTGAGCATCCATTGAAGGAGAGTGTTCGTGAAATGCTTGTAAAACATCATCTCTTTAGTTGGGAACTTTGATTTGTAAATTTTGTCTTAAGCAGTTTCCTGCTTCTCTCAAAATTTCTAGTCATTAATTTTTGAAGTTTATTTTTTTTTGATATTGTTCATTGTTATTTACTAAACCAAAAAGCTATTGTGCAATTTCTCTCTGTCATTCCAGTTGTCAGGTTGCGTGTTGTTCTTATTTGAACGTAAATATGAAAATGTTTTCCGGCCTTAGTAGACAAATGGATTTTTTAGTTATATTTACGATTGTTCTGTTCGTTTTTCCATAGCTGACCGTTGCTTTTCTTGTTTTAAATTTATCGATGTGTGACTTGTTTTTTTATTTGTTACGTTGAAGACTTTTTTCATCTTAGGATTCCATATGCTCATCTTTGTTATAAATAAGGTGTTCATTTTGCTTCTTGTTATAGTCACTGGTTGCGGCATTAACGTTAATTGTCTTCTGAACGAATCATGATGACTGATAGGCAGCAGAAACTAAGCGGAAGTTAGTTGGTGGGATGGCTGGTGGCGCAAGCAGAGATAATTTCATTGTGTTGCTAGGGTGATCAAGTACCGAGAGGTTCAGTGTAGAATCGTGTTTCATATTTGTATATCCTTGTCATTTCTCTAAGCAATGACACTTTTTCAGGTCAAACAACTACCATAATTTTTTCCGCTGGGTGATTTTCTCCACTTCCCTGCCCGCAACTTATATTTGACAACGACAGCGTTGTGTGCAAAAAATATAAATACTAAAAGTTGCTACGCTAGCTTTCGCAGTGTGATGATTTTTTAATTGTCACTAAAATTTTGACAGTTATATCTAATCAAAATGATTCCGACTTCTTGTTTTTTGCGGAATTGCTCCGCAGTAAATAATATATTCTGGGCAATCCTGTAAGAAAGATGAAATCCGTGCAATTATTCAGCATGATAAAGAATATTAATTTCCAAATCGAATCAAGGTAAAGTAAATCTCTAAAGTCATGTTCACGCAACACACATTTCCCATCATTAAAAGGGAAATTTTAAGATCATAAAAATGATTTAAATATCTGTAGCATAACAGATTGTTGAGCTAAAAAAATTAACGTTCATATTTTAACTTTTCGAATTATCTGGAATTTGAAAAGATTTAAAGCACGGATAGTTTGCCATAAAACAATAATTAAGAAATGAGAAATGGTTGCATTATTAATACCGTGTATGCATTCATTTTTCACGCTATATGTATGTATATGTTGCATGTATGTATATGTTTTATGCATGTCTTTAAAACTAAAACGATCAAATCTATAAATGGCCAGTTGTTTGATTTAAATAAATACGAAGGGTCAAGCCATCAGTTTTGTATATGTTTAAAACAAAAATTCGTTTACTGCTTATGAGTGGGTCATTTGTTGGAATTAACGATTTACTGTAAAGAATCCTCAGAGTGCATCGCGAATCTTCAAAGAAAATCCTTCTGAAAATAAATTCAGTCCATGTTCCATCATTTGTTACATGTGCTTCCCGAATGTTTATAAGCAAAACAGATGAAATAGTGACACTCAGAAGTATTGTGATCTGGGGTTAGTCAAAGTGTAATGGTGCTTGTTAGGCGAAATCCATTACTTTGAACATAATCGTACATCGCTGCGTATTCGAATCAAATCATGCTCTCTAGGTGTTGGTGCTTATGTGATCGATACCTATTGTACGACAATCGTATGAATCAATCATTTGTCACTTGTTCTTTACGTTGCATGTAATCGCCCTTGTGCAAGTTTGCTTTTCTCGGCGCAGCCACCGCAATAAACCTATATTCAGACCAGGACCTGCGACAGTACAACAAATTGGCCAATCGAAGTATCTGTACGTAATGTGGCTGCATAGTGCAGTCCGTTCCTGGCTCAAATTTCAACCAACTCGAACCCAGCTACATAGGCAAACAGTTATAACATTATTTTGAATAACTTTCAGGGAGCAGGATTTGCAACAGTGATGGCTTGTAAGTTAAACATAGGCGGTGATTAACCATAAAACTGCTTCACGCAGAAAACGACAAGAAAATAAATAAATGCGTTGATATAAAACCGGCACAATTGTTTGAAACGATACCTTGTGAACTGCAGTTAAAGCGATAAATGTTACAGATTTCGAGTAATGAGACTGAGTGAAAGACACTGTAAAGCGGTTGTATTTTAACAATTCCATTTTGTGAAATTACACTTGAAAATCTGATTTTCATGTTTAGTTTTCGCTTCGAGATTACGCTCTTCGATTCACGGTTAAGCAATCATATGACAAATTCCTCATTTTATTTACGGGTGTTGTTGTGCGCGGTTGATGTTCAGAGATAGCTCTGTTTGGCACCGGAGTTTTCGAGGAGTGGCTTGTCTGGTATAAAGTTCTCAGCTTTTCACGACGTCTGCTCTCGTCGCGGTGTAAGTACGGCGGAAGTGATTTGCAGAAGAAATCATAGTTTTCACAGTTCTGTAGTTGATTCAGTGTCAGTTCGAGTTGAGTGAAATTTTACGATAAACGGTGTAACTTCAATGTCGTAATTTCTTGAGTATATAAGGCTATAAGTTTATTTAGTCTGGCTGAAGAAGCTTTCACTGTTCATAGAATGGATTCGAAATTTTGTTCAATATAGCAGTTATGTTTCGAAGTGTATAACGGAGTAAGTTTTTGCCGTCGAATAACGTTGCACTTGTGCAACTTGAATCTTCCATGTCTAAATTGGGTTTTAAAATTCTACTGTTCTACTGATCTTCATTGTCACATGAATATATCTTTTTCGGTAAGCAGGTTTTTCTGCCGATTTTGCTAAGCGCGTGATCCTCTATTGATTGAGTGAATCATCCCGTTAACTAGGTATTGACTGACATGCATCGGTTTGCAGTGTTGCTACATATTTCTTTCAGTTTGGAGGTGCGTTCTTTTTGTGTCAAGTGTGTTCATTATTGTAAGAATATGTAATCACTGAATGTAACCGTGATTCACTTTGCATTCCCTAGCTAATACGTTAATTTATAACGATTCGCATTTGTGCAAAGCTCATGTTCACAACTAAGTGAAATTTTGAAATCGATATAAAAAATTAAATATATTTCGCTCGTTGCTTTTAAGATTGATTGCGAGAAGTAAAGCGGTTGTTCTCAATAGGTTTGGCAGCTCATAGCATTTACAACAGAAAGTGAGTATCGCACTACCGCTTCTAGGAGAGTAGTATGACTAATTCATTATTGAACTCTTCCGGTCGTTGGACATTGGGGTTATAATTTTTTTCATTTTTCACTTATGTTTGACTAAGTTTGAAAAAAGAAAATCATCTACAGACGTCATTTTGTGACTGCTCCTTTGCTGTGCTTGTTTATAGATAATAAAGCGTTGCATATATGCTAGAAAAAGTTCGTTTCGTTCATGGTTTATTTTGATTTTTAAGATACTTCAGTTTTATTAAATTGGTGTCTTGATATCGCTTAGTACAAAATGTATGACGTAAGTTTACAAAATTTTGAAGAATGGCTTTCACAGCTGAGATTTATCCGGCCACGTCCGTTTGTTCGTAAAGCAAGAGTGAATGGGACACGGTCCAGTTTGTATGCAAGTTGCAAGATTAGTTAATCTGACGTTACTGGGTGACTTTAGAGACTGCTTGAATATTACGGTTTGTTTATCCCTGAAATCAGTTCTGTTATGATTGTGCATTCCGAAAAGTTCTGTTAGAACCACCAGACATATCTGTCATGCATGTCCAAACATTGTTCTCTTAGAGAGAAGTTCAGTTCGCGAGACGAAATAAGAAATTATGAATATGGCTTTCACAGTTAATCAGCAGCACTCTTGATAAGAGATAACGTTCCAGGGACGTTAGAATATATATTATGAATGGATCTAGTGCAGTGATTTACAGATTAAGTTCAGTCGATTGACTGCACAAAATATTTATTTTAATACAATTCAATGTATAAGTATTGTAAATCGTACATGATTTCTTTATGCAGTAGGTGATATTATCTTAGTACTCTGAAGACGGACCGAACTTGGTTCGAAATGTCAGATGTCCCTAATTAAGGACTTTTTTATGCATTGTCTTCCCGTTTGTGACTAACCTAAAGATTAAATCTATACACAATGATATATGGCACAGGAGCAATGAACGTACTTACTGGTAAATTAAAATTCATGCAACAGGTTTATTCGATTGTATTAAATTATGTAAGAAAGTGTAACTTGAATCCTCAGCTTTGACGAAAACCAAGTGTTCTTGTAGTATTAAAAGTATTTTCCGTTTTATCCGTGATACCAGGAGTTGAATCGTCATAGTTCTTACGGCCAAAATCATGTACGCAGATCGTGTCGACTGGAAAAGCGGAAAAGATCAGACCGTAAAAGCATACGCTTTTCTTGGTAGCAAAATGTGATAGGGAGAACTATGAGATGTGAATCTATCAAATGTTGCAAGATCGAAATCCGTGCATTTGGATGAAGTATGTTTTCCGCCAAAAATATCATTCAAAATATCGATTAACACTGGATGAGGTTTTCATATCTCTCTTTGGAAGTATCTTTCAGGTAATGAATCTCTTTCTGCAACAAGAATTTACTACTTGGTTCACGATGCGTTTTCCCCAAAATGTTGGTGCAGAAGGGTCTAGTGTCAGGCAAGAGTTGCAGCACTTCCATAGAGATGGTTCCAATTGGTAAGCATATCTGCATGCATTTTTTTTATCCGGTATGCAAGCGATACCTCTGACCGGATCGTCGTGTGAGGTGATTTGTCCTGATTTGTTTAGGGTGCAAAATCGTTATTCTGTGATATGCAACAAATTCGAATTCTTCTTCGCGCTTTCTTTCGCGTTCATTTAATTTCCATACCTAAGAAGGTTAATGCTTTTGTTAATGATTGGTTTCGGACGTTAATTCAGTTAGCTGTACACTGGAGGTCGGCATGCAACTACCTTCGCTGTCTGTTCGAGGGCCATCATCCAGATCATACAGTATTCCCGGCGGCAATATCAATATTCAGTGAACTCATCATG